ATGGCCCCTCAGCTTTGCTCTTGGGTAGGACATGTCCTGCAGGTATGACAGGTACTGCATGCACACTCTCCTGCTCTCAGCTTATAGCACTCTACCATGCAAAGCTCACACCAGGAACACTGAAAATCATTTACTGTTATTTTAACCAAACATGAGGTTGTAGACTCTTGGTTCTCTTGGACAGAATCATGTTCAGAGCAAACAAAGGCTGAGTTTTTAAAGAAAAATTTAAGTACTTTCGCACTCCCCCATTTCCAGTCAGCCAGAGGCAGGTGGGAACAGGCTGGCAGGGACTGGTGCTGTTTTCCAGCACTGCATAAACATTGCCACAGCAGTGCTTACTACTCTGGCCACCTCCTCCACACCATTGGAGCCATGGTGTCCACCCCTTCTCCTGAAGCAGCTGGAGACTACAATTTTTAATTTGAAAATATACTTTAATTAGTATGGATAACATATCTAAGAACAAAAAAAAAAACCCAAAAGAAAATGAAAACAGTCAGTGCTTTAACATCAGAACAGAGAAGACAGAATCACCTTCTTACCTGATTTCTGAATGGATTTAAAACAAGCAGATGAAATGAAACCACATGCACATACAATTCTTGATCTTTGGCTGGGGCAGTTTGTACTCTCTGATTTCCTTGGGGAAACTCTAACTGGTACAAACTTTCAGAAATCATTACATTAACACAGTGATACTTATCTTTCCTGCTGCAAGGCTGGCTATAAAAAGCATAAGAGCTCATGCCATCAATGCCACCCTACATCCTTGGTACTAAACTTGACTATGACTTCGAGTTTGCTGTCATGTTTATCTTCCTGTGGTGCCAACAATCATACCAATACCCACACCTTCCTCTAAAGTAAGAGTCCCCTACAAAAGAGGATGAAGTCAAAAAAAAGGTCACAAAATGAAATGTGTACCGAAGATTTTTTTCCTTTCATTAGGTATTTGTCATGCATAACATTTTTGAGTCCTAGTTTGCCATGAATTAAAGCAATGTTCCTATGTTGTTGATAATCATTCATTTCCAAAAGTAATGTCAGAAAAATATCAGAGTTCAACATAAGATAATATAATTTAATTTATCTGTTTATTGATGCATTCATGAGTGTTGTTTAGAACACATATATTTCTCAAGCTACTACCTTGTTTTATAGTCAATGCTGTTTAGTTTTAAATTCTGCTTCAGTGAAGTTATTTCTAATTCTTTCAGTTCCCAGTACTTCTTATCTTATTAAGAATGTAAAGCCATCTCTCTGTATACAGACTTGCAGGCATGATGAGGTAGATTCAAAGTTAATGAATCTTCCTCTTAATTTTAACCCCTGAATACGGCCATGACCTTCTCCTCCTACATTGTTGAATTCTAATGAGGTTGGGGGTGGTTTAATCTATTGATCCTGTTGTCCATGACAGCACTGCTATATTATTAATTGCAGACACAGACTACATGTGCATACTCATTCCTTACTTCAAGAAGAGATACTTTTCGATCTTTATGTAACAGAGCCATGCTCAGCATCTAATTATTCCTGTTTAGGTTTTCTAACTGGAATATGTTCTTAATTTGTCATGGAATGCTAGTCACTATAAGAGCAATATATACTATGCTACAAGGCATTCATAACATAGCTGTATTTTAGGCATCAAATATATATGACGAGTATGTTACAGGTGTTTAAGAAAATATTGGGTATCTGCTGAGTGTGGTAACAGTTCCAGGATTCAATCATAGTCCTGGTTTTCAAGATGCACTTTAAAGGCTATCCAGTGGTGTTCAGAATAATTTTTTTTCTGCTTTGCAATATGAGTGGGTTTAGAGCATACCCACAGCTATAAACTGATAAAATACAAGTGTCCAGAAATGTTTACAGTATCTAAGGCTAACTAGTACAGAACAGCCCGTGCCTGTGCTAATGAATCCCCAGTGCCTCCAAAAGAGATTGACTATGTACATGTGACCTCTTTGTGACAATGTGCATTCAGTGTTAACTGTTGAACAATACCCAGGAATTATTTGGGAAAAAAGTTAGTTGTTACGTGCTAATAGCACGGTTCTAGCACTAGAAAAAAGAGTACTCCTATGCCCTGTTAACTCCTCAGGTAACTTATCATTTGCTTGCATAAAGACAGCTATAGTGGACCAGCTAAACTGCTGTAACATGATCAGTGGAGGTTTTAGAATAGAGAATGATCATTACTAAAACCATGTAATTTAAAAAGTGATAGGAATTCAGCCCGCATTCATAATTACATTTATGGCAGCGAGATAATTTGTTGGGTAACAATTGGTACACATTCAGATCTTTAACTAAAGGGATAAAGTTTAAGGAAATCTCTGGAACCTAAGCAGGTCAATGGAGAAAATACCAGGTTGGGGTGTTAAGACAGCTCCTGGCAGTCTGTGTCAAACTGCCTCATCTTATTCCTGTTTCCAGTGACTGAATCCTGTTTAAGAGACTAGTGAAAACACACTGATGTTGTAAGAAATATGTGCAGCTTCTGTTGTTTCCCAAAGGATAGTACACTAGATAGATAGATAGATAGATAGATAGATATAGATGAACTGTAGGAACTTAAAAACCAATTATAGTGAATAAATTACTATGTGCATATAGATCTGACCCCCTCTTAGGAAAGATGCAGACTTCTAACAGTGCCATGGAAGAAAAGTGCAAGAATGATACACAGCCTCAGATAACTGAGCTGAATTGAAGGGATTCTATTCTGTTTCACCCTGGGCACATGGGAAGGAAGGGTTTTGTCCTGTCCTGGAAGGAGTAAACAGGGAGGTAAAGAGGGTTGTGTATAATGATAGGAGGGCAGGGAAGAAAGACTTCCAGTCCTGAGCAATGTCAAGCAAATGGAAAGAAAGCCTTTCTTCTGAAATTCCTGCTGCAGGTTAGGAAGAAGAGGTGGCTAAGAGCTGAAAGTATGGTTTAGCTGCCTGACCTTCTTGCACTAGCTATACCCGAGTATAACCTGCAATATTCAGCAAGTTAAGATTCTGGCTGATACACAGACTCTGCATGTGAAAACAGCACATAGATTCTATGTCAGTCTAAGATTCCCAGGGATTTACCTCTCAGATGAAGCCTGTAATTTATGTTTGGTGAGACAGATCTTTCAGCTGTTGTAAATCAAAACACCTACATGATTCATAGCATATGAGGCTCTAGTCCAAATTGTGTATAGATAATTTCTGTTATACTGTAAGGATTATGGGACATGTTTTTCTTGCAAATTCTGCAAGCATAATTTTGGAATAACTGCAGTGAATGTAAAAGTGTTTCTTCATTGAATGAGAAGTGAATTAGCTCCAAAATGTGTGTTGCAAATATATAAATGACACATCGTGTGTTGCTTGCTGTCATTGTCAAGTTTAAACTCCAGCAGGCATATATTTAAGCCCATTGATAATCATGTTAAATTGAGCACATCATCATGTTAAATACACTATAAATTTGCAGCTAAATCACAATAAATTTAGTCAATTCTTTCTTTTTAGTACTTTTCCAGAGAAAAAATACTGATTATTCAAAAATTCATGTTGCTAAAACATCAAGAGTATTGAAAGAAACAAGCTTTTTCCAAGCAAAATGCAAAGCAAGAAAACTATGTAATACTCTTGAAAATGTGCCAAGAGGTTATAGTTTTGAACAATTCAGCAAGGAGTTGTCAGATTTTATGAAATATTTCCTTAATAAGAGTGTTAAGAACCAGTTTTCCCCTGTGGATTATCTTTTGCAACCATTGTACTGCCAACAGCTACTGTTTCTGTCTGTACAAAGAGAAAAATCTTCTAGAGTGGCAAAGTCCAGCTGAATATTTATAGCTAAAACCATGTAAAATTGATTTACACTCCAGGATGCTTCTGCCTGACTCTTCAGCCTCTCCCCGGAGGGGTGGTTATTCAAGTAACATGGGTAGTTCTAGAGATATATCCAAAAATCTCCCAGCACAGCAAGGCAAGAGGGCACATCTCTGTCACTGTGGGAGAGCAGATGGAAATGGAAGCAGGTATTGTCCAGTACCTCCAGTACATTTAGATTTGCTTCTGGAGCAAGCCAGCCCAGAGACACATCCCTCGTCTGGAATACGGCCCCAGTGCTGATGGATTTCAGGCTATTTTCTAAAATGTAATTATCTCTAATATGTATGACTGAAAGTCTGGAAGAAGACATGTTGAATGCTGCTTTCCAAGATGCTTGTGAAGTGCTGGCATGAGAAATTGGACTCAATAAAATAAGAGGGGAATGCTAAAATAGAAGTGATAGACATTTATTAGCCATTTGTGGAAAGTGTTGGTCATCATGCATGCTAAGTGCTGATAATGATGTGCTGTGATTGTGTGGTGACTCAGAGCTGACTCCAGAAGGCTGCAGCAGCTGCTGTGCTTCCAGCCATCCTCTTCCCCACTGCTGTGGAGAACTGTGCTAGGGGAGAAGCAGTGGCTTTGCCCATTCTGCCCAAGAATAGAAGAATAGAAGCCTGGAGGCTGGGGAGGAAAAGCTGGCAGGCTGTCACGACCACTTTCTCCTGGTATTCCCCTTTTGCTCTCATGGCAGTAAGTCCCTCCAGTAACTGGAGGAGCAAAGGTAGCTGGCACATTTCTACAGGAGGTCAGCACTGGGTCTCACCTGGAGCACCTGTAAGAAGTGGCTGCCCTTACTTTACTTGTGACTCAGCAGCTGGTGGCTTGGCTGGGTCACTCACTCTTCCACGACAGGCAAGCTGAGGAGCTCTAAGTGGCCCCAGGGGTTCAGGGAAAGCAGAAAGATTTGTTGCCCCAGAATTTAATTAGATGCTGCTATTCACTGTAAGGTGGGGTCTGCTTTAAATATGACAGGCAGCTCTTTCAAAACAGCTGGAGGTGGAGAGGAAGGTGGAGGAGTACAGGATGAGTTTCTTTCTTCAACAAGAGAGAGGGAGTGGGGAGGTGCATGACACTGAATCATATCTGCACTCTTTTGTATTGAAAAATAGACTGAGGAGAGGCTCTGCTCCTGACACAGGCCCTCAGCCAGCGGGTGCCTGGGGATGTTCAGAGACCATGAAACCATCCTGCATGACTTGCTGCCATTAGGAGCCTCTCATGAAGCACTTCTTGCTAGGTATGTCTGTGTTATGTTTACTTACTTATTTCAGATTTATGAATTGAGGCCAGTGAAGAGCAGCTGCACTTTAATAGGCCTGGGGTACACAGGGCTGTTTCATAGCTTTGGCACATGGCACCTCTGTATTGCATAGTCTCTAGAGCAGTGCTTTTTCCCCACTCTTCTCCCCAAACCTTTTGGGTTTGGTCATTTGATTTGGAAATTTTCTATCCTTCATATATAATTTTTGTAGAAATAATTTTAAACCAACACAACATTAAACCTAAGTGGCTGTTGTAGCTGCCCACTAGCTCATTACTGTCTTCATCCTCCCTCCCCAACCTGACCAGCAGCTTTGCTGCTGTTGCTGGTGCAGGAGCTGGGGGAGAACATTAACACCCTCCTGTGAGTTGTTTTTGATGGTAAAACTGATGCATTGTTTAAAGGAGAGATGGTTTGGGTCAATCACCAAGCCACATCTGATTGAGGGTGTTGTGCTCATATTTTGTTACATGTTGATAAGTGGCCTTTGGAAGGACACAAGTTTTTCTGTTGACAGTATTTAGCACTAGGCTGAAGTTTTCATTATCATCATCTTATCTCAGGGAAGTCTTTACATTTACTAAGCCAATTATTTCGCTTAGAAATCTTCAGTGAAATCCCAAACAATCCCAAAGCAAACTTTTTTTCTATTGTGGACTAATGTAACCTCATATTCCAGAGAGGATCTTTCAGAGGGAAGTGCTGCAGAGTATGATGACAAATGAACTCAAACTACATGTGAACTGTATGGTGATATTCTGAGAAAACCTCTTTCACTTCAACCCTTGGATACTCCATATTAAACTCCTCTAATTGTCTTGGGAGAGCTTATGGTTCTTGATTCCCTTCCAAGGCCTAACCCAAGGGACCAGAAGGGATCTGCATGATTCCAGATGGTGCTCTGGTTGATGTGGACATGAGGGGCTGTAGAGTCAAGAGGACACAGTTACACTACTGAAATCACAACAGACATTTTACCTGGTGAGTTCTGCACTGGAAGGAATGAAATCATTTATACCACCCAGATCCTTCACTTTCTAGGCCTTGCATGTACAATTATCTTTCTTACTATGTTTCTTTGACTTGCTTTACTGACCTCTGCTTCAGTTTTCCTAAGAAAAGTTTTATTCATCACATAAGCCGAAATTTCAAGTAGATAGTTTTTGTGGAGGGAGATGAAGGTTAGAGAAAGCTTGTTTGTATCTTTATTACAAGGGAACTGGAATGCTGCATTTGTGAATACAGAATACTCATCCAATTATTTAAAATCAAACAGCTTTTGTTCAAGGTGAGAAAATGTAATTTCTCTATTTTTTTCACAGTAGAATTCTTCAGACTTCAGTAGAGTTATTCTATTTATGATTACCTAAAATTAGAAAGAACAAGACATCCTTTTTTAATTCTTGATTCTTTCTTTTCTTGTACTTGATTCTCACACCGTTTTTCAGTGTATACTGAGGATGAAGGAGATCTGTGTGTAAAAAATTCTGTACAACCTCTGCTGTTTGTCTGAAAGCTTGCTGAATACAGCTCTGCAATGTCAAATGTCTTTGATTCGATTTGGAGTGGACCAGATGTCAACAAATTGGAATTTAATGTTGTTGAGACAGAGGACAATGTAGGAAGCATAAAGGGTTTCATTACAAATTACAATTAAAGAAAACATTCAGATGCAGTTGTGCAATTTTTATATACTGCAACTTAGAGCAATTAGGAAAAAAATCAGAAATCCTGTTTTTCTCTCATTCCTTATGAAGAGCTGAATGGGAATTTAGGACTTGTATCATAACACATGATCATGGGTTTTTTGTTTGTCTTCATCATAACCTTTATTTTAAAAACAATAATTTGTGGTTTATAAGGTGACATTCTCCTTTAGCCCTTTTAAATTACACATGCTTTGATGTGTCTGGTAGAATATTAGAAACTCAACAAAAGACACTTTTTAAGGAACAAAATCCAGTTTTTATTATAGTTTCAGACTGATCTACAGTAGTATGCATAAAGATGGCCATGATCTTTGCTTTCTTCAGGCTGCCAGCAGCCAATATACAAACAATGGCAATTTACATGCAGAAGTGATTGCAAGTCCTAAAAGCCAGAAATGCACAGAAATTAACTGTCTAGACTGCCTGTGTGAGCATTTGCCAAATGATAGTTGCCTGTTGTTTAAGTATTTAGTATAAAGTACAGAAAAACAATGAGGAGGGAGAACTTCCACTGCAACATGGCATCTGCCTCTCTGCTGGAGAAAGAAAAAGAAACCTCTGTTCCACCACAGACAACCTGGAGAGAACCTGTTTCTGACTCACCCATGGTACATCTGCCTGGGACCTCAGAGACACTTTGCTTCTGCCCACCAGATGTGCCCTCACATTTTCTTTAGGAGAGTGCGTGGTCTGGCTGTCAGGAAAATGGTTGTAATGGCATGTGGCATTTACTCAGTAAATCCTGGTAAATCTCAGGAGATTCAAAGGAGTCAGGAAGGGACTGGGACCAGTTTTCTTCAATCCTGAACAGTCACATCCCCTTCCTGGTGCAGGCAGTGTAGTGGGAGTGGAGAAAGAAAAATTTCCAAAGACTGGTTTCATAAGCAACTGTATAAATATTTCCAGAGTGTTTGTTTGTTTTGGTTTTGTTTTCTTGTTTGTTTGTGGGGGGAGAAGGGTGCTGGGCTGGGTTTGATTTTTTTTTGGTTTGTTGTTAGGTTATGGTTTCTTTATTTCTGCAAGGCTGTACATACTCCAGGTTGCATTAGTTCTGCACACTGTGTTAGATGCCTAATGTTCTGTGTCTGTTTTTGCTGAATTTATACCTGAACCTTTCTGACCTTAAAAAAATCAGAAATTCAGATTATTTATGATGTTCCCCATTGATGTTGAGGGAGGTTATAATAAATATTGCTCCTTGGTTTGTGGAGATACTTCCTGGTATGTCTTCAAGAAAATTATTTTGCTGGAAGAACATTCTACTTTTTTTCTTTCAGATGACTGAAAAAAAAATTGGCCAATTATAATTTTGAGATTTGTGCACCTTCTAACTTTAATTAAATGTTGCAAAATAGTTGATAAATCCTTTAAGAACTTTGTCAAGAACATGTATGTCTAAAAGTGGTTTTCATCAAGTCTTTATGTGAAATAAAGGATAAGTAAGATTAAGTACAAATCTTCCTCATTTTCATAAAATGCTCATTTAGTGAGAGTAAGTTTTTCCCTACCAGCGCTACGTCTAGATCTTCTGTTTTCTAGAAATACAAATCTGGCCTGAGAATGATCTTAAAAGTTGCCTAGAATAGTAATAACACCTATTGAATGTCTCTGGTCTGGTAGAATCCAGCATAGATTGACTTCATATCAGACATACGTGATAAAATCCACCTTTCTGAGATTAAACCTCTTGAAGTGGATGACTTTATTCAGTGACTGTGATCCTGAACCTAGGAGTTGCAATGCTTGATTTTGCATGAAAGAACAGTTCTTCTGATGATCCACAGCTAATTTTCTTCCTCCTCATTTTTTTGTTATTATGTTAAATATAACCAAAATATCTATCTTGATGTAACTAATTTTATAGGTAATTTTGAAATTATTTAAAGCATATTCTCTAACTACCAAGGTAAATCAGCACCACAATTTTTCTTGCCAATTTAAACCAAAGCTTGAATTCTGTCTTTCAGATTCCCTTTTTTTCTTTACCTACCCTACATCCCCAATGTTTTAGAGTCAAGTAAAACGCAGATGCTTTTTTTATTTTATGATTATTATCATTATTATGGTTATTATGATTTTTATTTATCTCAAGTACATAGAGGAGCAACCAGGACAGAAAATACTAGAAAGATAATACAAATAGAGACAGAAACTTATAAATGAGGCTTCATATATACTTCAGGAGAGTGAATGGCTAAGAAATATTGTTTGAAAGGAAGAACATAAGGCAATGGAATCTATTGCTACAATTTAAGGTCATTCCTTTTCATGATTGAAGCAAAAGGCAGATTATTCCCTACCTTTTGCAAGGGTCTTGCAAGTCTGCTCCATTTTATCAATCCCAGGATGATTTTGCTGCTTTGGTAACAACAAAACATCGGTAACTGATGTTAGCTGTTATCTTTTCTACTCTTCAGCTTCTTTTCTGAGAACATAAAGAATCACAAGATAAATTCATCATAAAGGGATGTTGAGATGTAGGTGTTTAGTCCAACCTCCTGCTCAAGGCAGGGTCAGCTGTATGCTCACCAGGTTGCTCAGTTTTATCTCTGCCCATTATATCTCACCCTCCTGATACCAAGAGCTTTACTTCATTTTCTCACTTATTTTCCCAGAGGTGCAGAGGGGCTACAGACAGGAACCCCAAAAACCACCTCTGCTGCAGGCTGAACCAGCCTTGCTTTCTCAGTTTGTCCTCACAGGGTGAGTGCTCCAGTCCCTGACCATCTTGCTGGCCCTCTTCCAAATCCACCCTAGTTTATTATGTCTTTCCTGTATTGGGAAGCACAAAATTGGATGCAGTACTGTAGAGGCAGAATGTAGAAGGAATGTTGTGTAAAGGGAGAGGATTACTTTGCTCCATCCCTTCTAGGGAATCTTGGTGTTCCTCTTTGCTGCCAAGGCACACTGCTGGCCCCTGCTCACTCTGTCTGCCAACACACATCTTGCCAGCAGTGCTGCTCTCCTCTGTCAAGCCTGGCTGGCACAATTGCAAGGAGCTCTTCCTTCGTGGGTGAAGGACCCTGCACTTGTCCTGTTGCCTCAGTAAGCCTTTAGTTTGTGCTAAATTCCAGGGTGTTTATAAAACACACCTGCATGACTCAGAAAGAAATCCTCACCCTAACTGGAGAGTCTGGGTAGAAATATTCAATAAGGAACAAAAGCCTATTACAGTGTTTAGAGAAAGAGAAGAACATTTTCAGTGAGCTGGGCATGTATCTTTCAATTAGCAGAGCAAATTTTTCTCTTTCAGTTATCGTCTCTCTC